AAAGACAATTTTTTTTCTCTTATCTTATATGTATGTATACTAATTTTCAATATATATATATATATATATATATATATATATATATACAATGTATATATACAATGTATACCTTCAAAATTTCATGAAAAACTACATCTTTCTGTACAAAATATCATGTAGTATCACTTACAAGTTATGATAAATACGAATTTTATATATATATATAATAGCAGTTTCTATCATTGATATTATAATTATATCATATCTAAAAATAATCTTTTCGTTTCATAAAATCAAGAGAGATTATTTTTAGATATAATATAATTATATTATTAATGATAGAGACTATTGCCAGTTTATTATGAATATGAATATACTAACTATAATAAAAGCTACGTGCACAAACACACACACACACACACACACACACACACACATATATATATATATATAAAATTCGTATTTATCATAACTTGTGAGTAATAATAGTAACTATATAATATCTATATAACTGTAACTATATAATATCTTGTACAGAAAGATTTGTAGTCTTTCATGAAATCTTGAGGGTATACATTGTATTCTAGTCTGCACCACACGTTTACTCGAATTTATACACGGCTTTATGTAAGCGGTAAATGTACACGAACATCGTCAATCCGGAGTTGACCCACGCGCGTGCCTCATCGAGTCTCTCTCCATCACATAAATTTACGAGCCAGAGCTGTTTGATGCAATTTACAAAGAGCGAGTAACCTGACATCTCGAAGGTTTATATCATTCAATGAATTTTGCGCGAATTCAGTCGATCGCGTAGTTTCAATCATGGTAAAACGATAGTTGCTCTTCTTCTGGCTCTAAATTCAGAAGCTTGCAGAATATATCCCACAAGTTTTTAGTATATTCATCATTTTTCGTTTTCTCTTTCGTAGATTAGCGACACTGCATAATAATAGTCTCTACATAATAATAAAAAAGAAAGAAAATTTGAATAAACAATTAATAAAAAGAGAAAAATTATCAAGAAAATTATCAGAAAAATTTTAAAAAATTTAAAAATTTTTGTTATATACTATAATAAACCTTTACTTTATTATATATTGTAATTTTTCTCATAAAAAATAAAAAATATGTAGACATTTTTTTGTTAATTTTTTATATATTTTAAATTCATACATTTCAGTATGTATCAGTCTTTTATGTCGTTTTCCATTGATTAAATATTGTATCATCACAAGTGAAAGACAGTAAAATATATGCACGTATAACTCCTAATTTTCATAGATATTTCGAAAGTATTGACAATACTACTTTATAATTTATATACTGTGATAAATATTTATGTCTAATTAGAAAGTCACATATTTGCTATGTCCAGTTGCCATTTCTTTAATGGCAATGTTTAAATAATCGAAAGACGAAGTAAAAGGAACTAAATATATGCTTCATCAAGTTATATAATAAATCTGAATGCACATACTCTTATCTGAATATATTTATATACTGTTGATTTTCTTGACATCACGATTTGTCCCTATTAATCATATCAGAAACAAAGAAATAAAGAAGATAAGAAAATCTTCGATGTAAATTTATATGAAATTATATGAAATGTAAAATTATTAAATTATATTATATTAATGGAAACATGCGAATCTTATCATATCAAAATATCTGTCGATAATATGTAATTGAATATAAAATGTTTATAGTATATATGTAATTGATAATATGATAATATGATAATAATATGATAAATATGATAATATGTAATTGAATATAAAATGTTTATAGTATATGTACATATTCTCTATATTATATTGAATAATTTTTATTATACAATTGTTAAAATGCATTTTAACAAAATTTCAATGCGCAAGAATTTCAGAATTATCCAGAATAGACTCTTTTAAAACGGGAAACTGTAATTGAGCTTAATCGAAACCCGAGGGAGAGTGAAAGAATTCTGCATTTACTTTAAAAAACCGTCGCATTAATGCTCCCATTAATACATGCAAGTGAATATCTCCTTTATGGCCGATTCTCGCGAAAGCGCACTTTTCGCTGGCAGTTATATAAACTTTTGAGAAAGCCGCATCTCATAGACGATAAATTGTTGATGCATACGCTGCGATGAAACGTTGCATCGCGTATAACGATGGTTCCAAAAATTGCGCCACTTATTTCTCGTGTCACGTTTAGGATTTGTGCATCGCAATATTCACCGGAGAAAGATGGTAGATGAATAGATTGTGATGTTAATTATTTTCATCTCTTTTTTTTATATTATTTTTATTTCATTACGAAAAAAATTTTAGAATTATTATTACATTAAAGTATTGAGGAAGAAATCTAGTTTGATAGGATTTAGATTCGTAAATTATTATACCTTTATTTTTTTTTCATACACATACCTGGAAATAATAGATAATTATATTTTTTATTTTTTTTCAATATATAATAGAGATATAAAATTGTATACGTATTCGCATAATAATAGATAATAGAACATTTACGATTTATTTATTTATTTTTATTATATTTATTTATTTTTGTTTCATCAGTGACATAAAAATATGTTAACAGAAATAAGTTAGTTATGTTTTTGAAAGTCTACGTCGCAAGAAAATAAAGAAGAATCTCTTATTCTGCGACTTTTGTCTCGAATTTGTCTTAACTCTTGAGATATACGCATGGAATAACTTATTGCACTTTTGACACGAGATAGAATTTATAATTACTCTACATGATTTCCATATATAACTTTGTATATGCAGATATACACGCACGATAATACGCTGATACACACATATACACATACGCTTAAATAGATATATGAACATGTATCTGAGTTTCTGAAATATTAGACATAATATTTTTTCATTTTTATTTAAAAGTTTCTTTGGTAATTCTATCTCTTATATTTTAAATTATTATAGTTATTGTAGACGTAAGAGACAGAAAAAATAGTGGAATTTTAAATTAATTAAAAAAAAACTTGAAATTTTGCTCAAATAATTAAAAATTAAATCGAAAATGGCAAATAAGAGCCGCGACAGTTGGAGCGCAGGAAAGAAATAATACTTCTTTCTTTCTATATGTATAATTACTCGTTTATTTCAAAATAAAAATTATTTTAATAAAAAATGAACGTTTTGATTCATTTTTTGATCTTTCTTCAGCATGTTAACAATATATATTAGATGTTAACAATATATATTATAAATTATTATGACGTATTAAATTAAAAAAATTTGTTTATCCTCGCGTAGATGACGATAAATTGCATCTCACCGAGATCTGGTAAGCGCATTGTTTCCAATAGTCCTTCAAATTATTATAGTTGTGCTGTATCAATGTGTTACGTTACAGCAGATCTAACAATTCGAATAAAAATATGAATATCGAAAAATATTACACGTAAATGAGCTCTTTATGCTTAAATTAGTAGTCAGAAGCACTCACCAGATTCCACTCTTTATGCTATTAATAACAGTGCTATTAATAACGTTATGTGTCTCTCATGTTTGTAGTTTGAAATTCAATGATGAAATGTATAAATATATTTTTGATTGTTAAGACGTAAACACAGACTCAATCGAGGATAAACTCGGTTGACTTGATGATAATAAACATATAAATATATGAACGCTTCATCCTCGATAAATAATCAACTATTGTTGCAAATGATGCAAGCCCTCTGTATCACTCTGTAAATTCAAGCTATTTTTTTGTCGCTTGATAAACACGAAGACCAGTCTTTTGCTCAATAAGAACTCTTCGTTCAAAACTTTTTCCCAATTAAAATCGTGAACAAATTCAAGTCTATGATTGGATATAACCAAAAATTGTAACATAATTTATAGTACATATTGTTAACATCGCGCTGAAGAGGAATTAAAAGATAGGAATCTGAGACACTAGTTTTTATTAATATAATTATTTTTATTTGGAAATAAACGAGTAATCAGAAAAAAGGAAGTGTTATTTTTTTTCTGTGCTCCAATTATCGCGCTATGGCTATTATTTGACAATTTCGATTTAATTTTTAAATTAATTGCATTAGTACACACGGCTTTGTCTATTATATTATGTAAGTTATTATAGCATTATAAATCACATTATATATACATATAAGCATTTTTCTACGTAAAGTAAAAATTTGACGAAAAATGAAATGACATATAATAACTTGAAACGAACTGATTTACAAGAAATATAAACTCAGCATTAAGATCGAATAATATTCTAAAACATTCTATAATTCTCGGTTTTATAGTTCATATATTTTTAATTAAAAATATATCAGGAATTATATAAAAAAGAGCTGCCTGACTTGAAGTGCATATTATTCAGAACAAGAATAAAGCTTCTACAATATACGTGAAAAACGTATACCAATTTTGTTTGTTTAAATAGAAATAATATTTATACAATGAATACTAAAAATATGAAAAAAGATATTAAATAAAAAGTTATTAACAAACAAAAAGTTATTAAATAATAATTAAAAACATTTAGATTTAATAATATTCAAGTAGGGGGAGGTATAAGTAATTCCTTCAATTTCCTTCATTAAAACGAAGAATTATATTATTTTTATAAATTTCACAATTTTTATAAATTGAAAAATTTGTTGCAATACTAAATATGGATATAAAAGTACTGGATATGTATAAAAGTAAATATATACCAGTGATATCAATTAAGCAATTATTTGACTGAACTTTACAATACAATTACCTAATAAATACATACGAAATCAAAAAACAAAATTGAATTATAAAAAGTATTGTATGTATATGCATATGCGTTAATTGAATTATAAATATTAAAAACAGATATAATAAAAATAAATATAATTATAAATGTTGTATATATGTATACATATATACTTTTAAATAAAAAGAAGCAGTTTCCTATTTTAAAAGTATGCATATTTTCGCGCAGGTTTAATGCGCAGGTTTAATGCGCAACTGTCACCTGTTATGAAATTAAGCAGTATATAAAGAGAACGTGCATTAAACGCACTTCAAAGTTAAAAAGAACGTCAGTGACATCGTGTAAGTGAATTTAATATAATTAATTGTATATTGGTGACATCCTAGAAAAGTATCATAAATAATGTGGTCTTTTAAGAAAATGTGTACAAGTAATGCACGTCTTGAGGGCAAGACTGTTGTAATAACAGGAGCAAGTAGCGGTATTGGTAAAGAGACTGCCAGAGATTTTTATGGAAGAGGTAATATCTTAAAGAATATATATTCTAAAACTGATAATTTATCCTAAAACATTGAAATTTTTTTTAAATAAACAAGATTATGAATTTAACAGACTGTCTATTGCGAAGGATGATGAGAAATATGTTTTTATGACATCGTACGAAATTTAAAATAAACAGCGCTTGCGACACAAATATAGTTTTTGCGTTATTTTAATTGGCATTATTTTAATTGGCATATTACCCAGTCATAATTTAAAATCTTTATCAGTTATCTTCACCGACCCGACCGCGATATCGATGTTTACTCTACAATTTTATTATTTGACTTGTACAGCATTACTTTCCGTTTGTTTTTATTTTTATATTATTATCTATGTATAATAGTCTAAAAGTTCTTTTGTACGTTTCTATTAAATCAACATTGTCACCTTGAAGAGGATCCAAAAGGGACCGAAACATTTGTATGTTCTGAAATTGTTCTTTTTAAATTTTAAAATTTTTAAATTATAGACTTGCAAAACATGCAATGCCACTTGCGAATTTTTTCTCTCTCTATATATATATATACAGACTGTATCAAAATTTACGGATGAGAAATGCACAGCGCGATAGTTCGTGCCAAAAGAAACAACTTTTCCTTTGACAAAATTGCAACTAAACATTATTTTTCTAAGAGAGCAACTTGAAGTTGAGAGCTATACATGATAACTAAATATTTATTAAATATCTATTAAAAATCTATTAAATATCTATTAAATAGCTATTTTTAGAACAATTTACTTCATAAAAGAATATTTTCCATTTAATATCACCGAAGCAATGAAAGTAAAACAAGATTAGATTAGATAACATGTTTAGCTAGATATGCAATACATAAATATTCCGTGAAGATTAAAAAATGATTAAAAATTAACAAGATTTTGATAATAAATACAATAAGCATGTAATGTTTAGTTTTTAGTTTTTATTATTTATAAATCTCACAATATAAAAATCTGGCTCTTAACTTCTTAGACTTTGAATCAACATTGAATTGACGCGTTACACTTCTGACTGGATATACATATAGTATAGAATTTTAATTTAAAAATGTATAAATTTATTATTTTATAAATGATATAAAAGTTATGAATAATAAATAGATGTAATAGTAAGATAAATAGATGTTTTTTCGATTGTGATATTTTCTTTAATAATTAAAGGTTTCGTAAATATTCAAATATAAACAAACATGTGCATTTAGGCGCTAGGGTAATTCTGGCCTGTAGAAATATGGAAAAGGCAAACGAAGCAGTTAAGGATATAAAAAATAATCCACCTTCCAGGTAAATATATAAAATCATATTATAAGAACTAAATAAATTAATGGTAATTATTTATTTGGCAGCTGCATAATTACAAATTAAAACGAAATGTTTTATCCTTCATTTATCTTATTTTACTACTTATATGAAACTATACTTCTTCCAACAAATATTTTACGCGACAAATAACAAAAAAATATAATTCAGATGCCTATTTTTTATGTTTTTAGAATTAAAAAAGACGAGTACCAAAACGGTGCGGGAGAACTTGCAATTTATTTTCTTAATTTATGTAGTTTAAAGAGCGTGAAAGATTGTGCTAAAAATTTACTGATGAAAGAAGCAGCCATTCACATTCTTGTAAACAATGCTGGAGTGGCTGCGATTTCGTACGAAAAAACAGAGGACGGAATTGAGACAACTTTTCAAACGAATCATCTTGGCCATTTTCTTTTGACGCTTCTACTGCTGCCAAAAATGCAAGCGTCTTCCCCAGATTGCAGAATAGTCAATGTATCATCAATTGGTTATATTTGTATGTAGCAATACCGCATAATACTAGTTTTATCATTTACTTGAAGAAATAAGAATATTCTTATTACACCCTCTATAACTTCTACGATTATTCTAAACATAAATATAAGAGAAGCATTTTATTACAGTCGGAGACATAGATTTTGATGATATTAATCTAGAAAAATCTTATCGCCCACTCAAAAGTTACTTCCAAAGTAAACTGGCAAACATCCTCTTTACAAGGGAACTCGCTCGTCGATTAAATAGTAATATTATAAACAAAGTTATTTTACGATAATTCACGAATAGTTCACGAGAAAATGATCGACAATATAATGGAAAGTAAAACACGCGAGGATGAATTTATTATGTAAAATATTATTTTGATTTGCAGAAGCTAATGTTCATGGAATAAACGTATATTCTTTGCATCCTGGTAATATACCAACGGAGATAACACGGCATGCTAGTAGCACATTTTTTCCAGGTGCAAGTTATTCTTACAGTATTTTATCATGGATTTTACTATGGGCTTTTAAGACTCTTGAAGAAGGAGCACAAACAACGATATATTGTTCAATAGATGAAAAAACAGCTAATGAGACCGGACTTTATTATTCGTGAGGACATGCCATACATTATATAGAGATATCTATAAATTTTATTTTTATAATACATAATATTCCTCCGCTGTTTCTTTCTCTTCCTTTTTTTTATTTATGCAGAGACTGCAGCGTCGTCAATCCACGAAGGAAAGCGACAAATGATGAGTACGCCAAAAACTTGTGGGATGTATCTTGCAAGCTTCTGAATTTAAAGCCTGAAGAAGATTTTATTAAATTTCTACAAACTGTCTCACGCCAAATATTATAAAGAAATATTTTTTTTTAAACTACAATAATTGATTAAAATACTAATAATAGAAAAAGAATTATCAAAAAAGTTATTAGGAAAATTTAGTATAATAATTCTATTTATACATTATAGTGAATTTTTATTTTATCATATATTATAATTTTTGTCGAAAAAAATAGAAAATATATAAATATTCTTTTTATGTTCATTTTTTGTATATCTCGAATTCATACATTTTAGTATTAATAGACATATCATATGTCTATTAATCATATTGCATAGATTATATATTGCATTGTCAAAAAAATGAACAATAAATTATATGTACGTATAACTCTTAATTTTATATACACTTAGTATACACAATTTGAAAGTCGACAATTCTGTATTATATTTGTAATGAATATGTCCAACTGAAAAGTGACATATGTATATTTGCGATGTCTGCCAGTGTCTTTCTTTAATAGTAATGTCTAAATAATAAAAAAGTAAAAGAAATATGAAATATATGCAAATTCAAGTTATATACGGGGTGTCTGAGATAAAATATAAGATGGTATAAGATGTTCTGCTAAAAATATATAAGTAGAGATTTCGCTAAATTGAATTAAAAATAGAAAGTCCTATTTTGCAAACAACCATATAAAATTTTGATGGATGAATTAAAGAACATCGACTAAAATGTGGCTAAATCATAAGAATGCGCTCTAAGGAATACCGGAGACAAGTGTCATATAGCAACGAAAAAACAAGAATCGATTTACATACGGTCAAACTTTTCGTTAACATGTGACACACGCCGCTAACATCCCTAGAATAAATATCCCAAAGACTGACCATGCGAAATGGGCGTTTGCATATTTTTAAATTAAAATTTTAATAATTATTACGAAAATTGCAAAATCGTAAAGGATTTTTATGTTCAATATACTGTACTCTACTCGCTTACGAGCATTATCATGAATATTCTGGGACATTCTGTATTTATAGTTTCTATATTATATCGAATAACTTTCATTATACAATTGTTAAAATGCATACCGAGATTTTAAGGCCATCGCGAGAATTCCAGGATTATCTAGAATATAGATAGAGAATCTAGAATATAGATTCTTCCAAAATGAACGAATGCATTTGAACTTAAATGAGGGAAAGAGAAAGTATTTTGCATTTATTTTGAGATAGAGAAAACCATCGCATTAATGTTCCGATTATCGAATGCAAGTGAATATCTTCTTTCTGATCGACTCTGGCGATTCGTGGGCGAAAAATATATAGTGTAAATAATCCCTTATTCACACAAGTCTTTATTAAAGCAAAGAATTTTAAAATATTTGTATAATTTTTACAATTTTTATAAATTGAAATTTGTTATATTAGCTTAACAGACGTAATTCTACGCTCCTTTTGCTCCGTCTAGGAAAGAATCGTTGTCGCTTACTGTACATGTATAACTACTATGTTGTGTGCATATTATGAATACATATTTATAAAATGAGTAAGAAAAGTGTGAATTCCTGCTGCGCAGATTTAATGCGCAATTATTTGTTATATAAGCAGTATATAAAGAGCGATTGCTTCGTATTATGCATATTGCAAAATTGAATAGAGTGTCGTTGATATCGTGTAAGTGAATCCAATGTAATTAATTATATATTACTGTTGATAACATCCTAGACAAAAAGTATCATAAGTAATGGGGTTGTTTAAGAAAATGTGTACAAGTAATGTACGACTTGATGGAAAAACTGTTGTAATAACAGGAGGAAGTGGTGGTATTGGTAAGGAGACTGCCAGAGATTTTTATGGAAGAGGTAATATCTCTAAAAACATGATAATTTATCCTTCTGGTAATTTAAGCTTTGAATTCTTTTTGAAATGAGAATATAATGCATGTACAATTATACACACATATACATATACATTATGTACGTAATGTGTATAGAATTTTAATTTAGAATTATAGAAATATTTAAATTTGACGAGTCATAATATAAGATATAATTTTTTTCGATTGATATTCATTCTCCGAATGATATTTATTTTAATAATTAAGGTTTTATAAATACCTGAACATAAACAAACGTGTGCATTATTATTGTTATTATTATTATTATTATTATTATTATTATTATTATTATTATTATTATTATTATTATTATATAACATATTATATACATTATATTTGTTTATGTTTCAATATTTACCTTAGAAACCTTAGTTATTAAAGTAAATATCACCATTCCAAGAATAAACATCGATCCAAAAATTGTATCTCGTATTTATATTATTCATTAAATTTATATATTTTTAAATTTAAATGCTATATTATGTATCCAGTCAGAAGTGTAATATTATAAAGGTTAATTCGGTGATATAAGAATATATCTATCTTTGTGTGAGATATAATATAATATATAACATACATCATACATACTTCATATAGATACAAATATTCCCTTATATTCAAAATTTTACTGCGCAAATTTTTGTTGTTCATGAATTTGTTTTTATGTTATATTTATATTTATTTTTATGTTATATTTATATTTATTATTAATAACATTCGATTGTATTTATTATGATATATTGTATTATATTTGTTATTGATATTAATAAGAAAAATCTCACTTACGAAACATTTATAACAGACAATCTCAGATATTACAAAACGCTAAAAAATCATAAATAGATGTTGCGTGAATCGACCTTTAGAACAACAACTTGCAGTTATTCAGATAATCAAATCAATCTTGACAAGACATCACACTTCTAACTATATGAGTACATAATATGGAATGATAATTTAAATATATTTAAATTTGATGAGTAAGCTAAATAAGATCATCTTCTTAGACTTTGAATCAATATTGAATTGACGCGTTACTCTTCTGAATGGATATATAGTATAGAATTTTAATTTAAAAATGTATAAATTTTATAACTAATTTGAAAATTATGAATAATAAATACATGTAATTTTTCCAATTGTGATATTTACTCTAATAATTAAAAGTTTCGTAAATATATATATAAACAAACGTATGCATTTAGGCGCTAGGATAATTCTGGCCTGTAGAAACATGGAAAAGGCAAACGAAGCAGTTAAAGATATAAAGAATAATCCACCTTCCAGGTAAATATATAAAATCATATTATAAGAATTAATTAAATTAACAGTAATTATTTAATTGGCATATTTATTATTAAAACGAAATCTTCCTTCATTTTTTTTCTTTTATTTTTCATATGAAACTATACTTCTTTCATCAAATATTTGGCGCGACGAATGACAGAACAATATAATCCAGATGCCTGCTATTTTTTATGTTTTTAGAATTAAAAAAGACGAGTATCAAAACGGTGCGGGTGAACTTGCAATTTATTTTCTTAATTTATGTAGTTTGAAGAGCGTGAAAGATTGTGCTAAAAATTTACTGATGAAAGAAGCAGCCATTCACATTCTTGTAAACAATGCTGGAGTGGCTGCGATTTCATATGAAAAAACAGAGGACGGAATTGAGACGACTTTCCAAACGAATCATCTTGGACATTTTCTTTTGACGCTTCTACTGCTGCCAAAAATGCAAGCGTCTTCCCCAGGTTGCAGAATAGTCAATGTATCATCATTTACTCATATTTGTATGTAATAAAACCCCGTAATATCAGTTTTATTATTTACCGAAAAAAAATATACTTGCTCTAATTTCATTTGCATAAATATAAGAACATAAATATAAGAAAAGCATTTTATTACAGTTGGAGATATAGATTTTGATGATATTAATCTAGAAAAATCTTATGGCCCACTCAAAAGTTACTTCCAAAGTAAACTGGCAAACATTCTCTTTACAAGAGAACTCGCTCGTCGATTAAACAGTAATATTATAAACAAAGTTATATTTTATGATAATTCACGAAATAGTTCACGAAAATATGATCGACAAAAGAAAGGAAAGTGAAACACGCGAGAATGAATTAATTATACAGGGTGTCCCATTTTAACTTAGGCAGCCAAATAACTCGAAAAATAAGCACACTACGAAAAAATGGTTAGAATCAAAATTTCGTCATTTCGAGGGGGACGTACAATGACGTTAAAATCAGCCCCCTCACCCCTCCCCCTGGGCGGTGAGGGGGGGCAAGTTTGAAATCTTAAATGGAACCCCCTATTTTTCATTGCATATTCTTGTAGCTTATCTCGAGAGCTTTCCAAAACACTATAATTAAGTACCTTTTTATTAAGTACTTTTTGAGTTTTAAGGCTTGAAATAATTTCTTAATTTTACATAAACCATAAAATATCTAGTAAATCATTCATTTTTCGATTATCTTACCTTGATACTTTTATGTACAAAATAATGAGAGGAATCAATTGGTGTAAAGAAAACACATAGTTATTTCTAAGAAAAAATATGTAATTTGCAATTAACAATTCCATATTTTTTCTTAAAAACAACTGTATGTTTTCTTTACACCAATTGATTCCTCTTATTTTCTACATAAAAGTATGAAGGTAAGATAATCGAAAAATGAATGGTTTACTAGATATTTTATGGTTTATGTAAAATTAAGAAATTATTTTAAGCCTTATAACTCAAAAAGTACTTAATAAAAAGGTATTTAATTATAGTGTTTTGGAAAGCTCTCGAGATAAGCTACAAGAATATGCAATGAAAAATAGGGGGTTCCATTTAAGATTTCAAACTTGCCCCTCCTCACCGCCCAGGGGGAGGGGTGGGGGGGCTGATTTTAACGTCATTGTACGTCCCCCTCGTAATGACGAAATTTTGATTCTAACCATTTTTTCGTAGTGTGCTTATTTTTCGAGTTATTTGGCTGCCTAAGTTAAAATGGGTCACCCTGTATAAAATATTACTTTGATTTGCAGAAGCTAATGTTCATGGAATAAACGTATATTCTTTGCATCCTGGTAATATGCCAACGGAGATAACACAGCACGCTAGTAGTACAATTTTTCCAGGTGCAAGTTATTCTTACAGTTTTTTATCATGGGTTTTACCATGGGCTTTTAAGACTGTTGAAGAAGGTGCACAAACAACTATATATTGTTCAATAGATGAAAAAACAGCTAATGAGACCGGACTTTATTATTCGTGAGGACATGCCATACATTATATAGAGATATCTATAAATTTTATTTTTATAATACATAATATTCCTCCGCTGTTTTTTCATTTTCATATTTGTAGAGACTGTAATGTCGCCATTCCACGAAGAAAAGCGGCAAATGATGAATACGCCAAAAACTTTTGGGATGTATCTTGCAAGCTTCTGAATTTAGAGCCTGAAGAAGATTTTACTAAATTTTTGCAAACTGTTTCCCGCCAAATATTATAAAGAATTTTTTTTTTCTAACTACAATAATTGATTAAACAACTAATAATAGAAAAAGATTTATCAAGAAAGTTATCCGGAAAATTTGGTATAAATTGCATCTTGCCGAGATCTGATAAACGCATTGTTTCTAAAAGTACTTCAAATTATTATAGGTGTGCTGTGTTAATGGGTTATTAGGTTACAGCAAATCTAACAATTCGACTAAAAATATCGAAAAACATTACACGCAAATTAGCTCTTTATGCTTAAATTAGTAGTCAGAAGCACTCACCAGATTCCACTCTTTATGCTATTAATAACATTATGTGTCTCTCATGTTAGTTTGAAGTTCACTGATGAAATGCATAAATATATTTTCGATTTTTAAGATGTAAACACAGACTCAATCGAGGATAAATTCGATTGATTCGATGATAATAAACATATAAATATATGAACGAACGCTTCATCCTCGATAAATCGACTATTGTTGCAAATGTATGATGCAAGCCCTCCGTATTACTCTGTAAATTCAAGCTATTTTTTTTGTCGCTTGATAAACAACACGAAGACGAGTCTTTTACTTAATAAGAACTCTTCGTTCAAAACTCAGATTTTTCTCAATTAAAATCGTGATCAAATTCAAGTCTATGATTGGATATAACCAAAATTGTAACGTAATTTATAGTACATATTGTTAACATCGCGCTGAAGAGGAATTAAAAGATAGGAATCTGAGACGCTAGTTTTTTTATTAATGTAATTATTTTTATTTGGAAATAAACGAGTAATCAGAGAAAAGGAAGTATTCTTTTTTCTTGTGCTCCAACTATCGCGCAGTGGCTATTATTTGCCAATTTCGATTTAATTTTTAAATTAATTGCATCAATACACACAGCTTTATCTATTATATTGTGTAAGTTATTATAACATTATAAATCACATTATATATACATATAAGCATTTTTCTACGTAAATTAAAAATTTGACGAAAAATGAAATGACATAACTTGAAACGACCTGATTTACAAGAAATATAAACTTAGCATTAAGATCGAATAATATTTTAAAATATTCTACAATTCTCGGTCTTATAGTTCATATATCTTTAATTTAAAATATATCAGGAATTATATAAAAAAGGGTCGCCTAACTTGAAGTGCATATTACTCAGGACCAGAATAAAGCTTCTATAATATACGTGAGAAGCGAAATTTCGTTTTTTTTAAATAGAAACAATATTTATAAAATAAATACTAAAAATATGAAAAAAGATATTAAATAACAAAAATATGTTAAATAATAATTAAAAACATTTAATAATCTCTTCAAGTGGGGGAGGGAGGTATAGTAATTCCTTCAATTTCCTTCGATAAAACAAAAAATTATATTATTTTTATAAATTTCACAATTTTTATAAATTGAAAAATTTGTTGTAATACTAAATATGTATATAAAAGTACCTAATATGTACAAAAGTAGATATACCAGTGATATCAACTAAGCGATTATTTGACTGAACTTTACAATACAATTACCTAGTAAATACATAAAAAATCAAAAAACAAAATAATTGAATAATAAATAGTATTGTATGTATACGCATATGTGTTAATTGAATTATAAAAATTAAAAACAGATGTAATAAAATCGGATAGATATAATTATAAATGTTGTTAATGTATACATATATTTTAAAAAAGAAGAATCAGTATCCTATTTTAAAAATATGCATATTTTCGAAGATTTAATGCGCAGATTTAATGCGCAGATTTAATGCGCAACCTTTCACCTGTTACCAAATATTAAGCAGTATATAAAGAGAACGCGTATTAAACGCACTTCAAAGTTAAAAAGAACATGACATCGTGACATCAGTGACATCGTGTAAGTGAATTTAATATAATTAATTGTATATTGATGACAAGAAAAGTATCCTAGAAAAGTATCATAAATAATGTGGTTTTTAAAAAAACTGTGTACAAGTAATGCACGTCTTGAGGGCAAGACTGTTGTAATAACAGGAGCAAGTAGCGGTATTGGTAAAGAGACTGCCAGAGATTTTTATGGAAGAGGTAATATCTTTAAAAATATATATTTTAAAACTGATAATTTATCCTAAAACATTGAAATTTTTTTTAAATAAACAAGATTATGAATTTATCAAAGATTTTAAATTATGATTGAATAATATGCCAATTAAAATAACTCAAAAATTATACTTGTGTCGCTGTTTATTTTAAGTTTTTCATCATCTTTTGCAATAGACGACAATCTACTGCGAAAGATGATGAGAAATGTTTTTATAATATCGTACGAAATTTAAAATAAACAGCGCTTACGACACAAGTATAGTTTTTGCGTTATTTTAATTAGTATATTATCCAATCATAATTTAAAATCTTTATTGGTTATCTTCACAGACTCGAGCGCGATATCGATGTTTACTCTACAATTTTATTATTCGACTTGTACAGTATTACTTTTTACTAAATATGCGATGCATAAGTATTTTGTGAAGAGTAAAAATGATTCGAAATCAATAAGTTTTTGATAATAAATATAATTAAGCATGTCATTTAGTTTAGTTTAGTTTTTAATTTTCATTATTTATAAATCTCACAATATAAAAATCTGGCTCTCAACTTCTTAGATTTTGAATCAACATTGAATTGATGCGTTATACTTCTGACTGGATATATAGTATAGAATTTTAATTTAAAAATGAATAAATTTATTATATTACAAATAATATAAAAGTTATGAATAATAAATAGATGTAATTTTTTCGATTGTGATATTTACTCTAATAATTAAAGGTTTTGTAAATATTCAAATATAAACAAACGTGTGCATTTAGGCGCTAGGGTAATTCTGGCCTGTATAAATATGGAAGAGGCAAACGAAGCAGTTAAAGATATAAAAAGTAATCCACCTTTCAGGTAAAATCATATTATAAGAACTAATTAAATTAATGATAATTATTTATTTGGCAGTTGCATAATTACAAATTAAAATGAAATGTATTATCCTTCATTTCTTCTTTTACTTCTTATATGAAACTATACTTCTTTCAACAAATATTTTACGCGACAAATAACAAAACAATATAATTCAGATGCCGATTTTTGTTTTTAGAATTAAAAAAGACGAGTACCAAAACGGTGCGGGAGAACTTGCAATTTATTTTCTTAATTTATGTAGTTTGAAGAGCGTGAAAGATTGTGCTAAAAATTTACTGATGAAAGAAGCAGCCATTCACATTCTTGTAAACAATGCTGGTGTGGTTGCGATTTCATACGAAAAAACAGAGGACGGAATTGAGACAACTTTTCAAACGAATCATCTTGGCCATTTTCTTTTGACGCTTCTACTGCTGCCAAAAATGCAATCGTCTTCCCCAGGTTGCAGAATAGTCAATATATCATCAATTGGTCATATTTGTACGTAGCAATACCGCATAATAGCAGTTTTATCATTTACGTGAAGAAATAAGAATATCCTTATAATACCCTCTATAACTTCTACAATTATTCTAAACATAAATATAAGAGAAGTATTTTATTACAGTTGGAGACATAGATTTTGATGATATTAATCTAGAAAAATCTTATCGCCCACTCAAAAGTTACTTCCAAAGTAAACTGGCAAACATTCTCTTTACAAGGGAACTCGCTCGTCGATTAAATAGTAATATTATAAACAAAGTTATATTTTACGATAATTAACGAAATAGTTCACGAGAAAATAATCGACAAAATAAAGGAAAGTGAAACACGCGAGGATGAATTTATTATATAAAATATTATTTTGATTTGCAGAAGCTAATGTTCATGGAATAAACGTATATTCTTTGCATCCTGGTGTTATGCCAACGAAGGTAACACGGCATGCTAGTAGCACAATTTTTCCAGGTGGAAGTTATGCTTATAAATTTGTATTATGGGTTTTACCATGGGCTTTTAAGACTGTTGAAGAAGGAGCACAAACAACAATATATTGTTCAGTCGATGAAAAAACAGCTAATGATACCGGACTTTATTATTCGTGAGGACATGCTATACATTATATAGAGATATCCATAAATTTTATTTTTATAATACATAATATTCCTCCGCATTTTTTCTTTTTCATATTTATGTAGAGACTGTAATATCGTCAATCCACGAAGGAAAGTGACAAATGATGAATACGCCAAAAACTTGTGGGATGTATCTTGCAAGCTTCTGAATTTAGAACCCGAAGAAAATTTTACTAAATTTCTGCAAACCGTCTCACGCCAAATATAAAGATATATTTTTTTCTTTAAAAACTGCAATAATTGATTAAACAATTAATAATAGAGAAAGAATTATTGAAAAAGTTATCAGGAATATTTGATATAATATTTCTATTTATATATTGTAGTAAATTTTTATTTTATCATATATTACAATTTTTGTCGAGAAAAATAAAAAAGATATTAACATTCTTTTTTTGTTCATTTTTATTATATATCTCAAATTCATACATTTAAGTACTTATCATATGTCTATTCATCGTATCGCATAGATTACATATTGCATTGTTTAAAAAATGAATAATAAAGTATATGTACATATAACTTTTAATTTTATATACAATTACAAGGAAAGGCACGGAAGTTCCCCTCCGATTTTAATGAGCTTTTAATATGTTGTTTTCTAGACAAAAATAAGGGACACGTATTTTTTTTTACGTACCCATACGCGTTTAGGGGGTAAAACACTCCTTTGACAAAAATCGGTTGTTTTTTTTAAGATATTTCAGAAACTGTAAGATATAGACAAAAATTTTCAAATTAAAAGTTAAGTGGTTTCAAGAGTTTATTTACAATAATTACAAAAAAAATTTTTTTAGATTTTCAAAATACTTCCACCACTAAATATATTTTTTTTTTATTTTGAAATTTCTTTATTACCATGTGAAATGTTATTTTTTTACGAATTCATCCATATATGATAAAGTTATATTTCGAAAAGTCATTTCCAGAATTAATTATAAACCTCTCTGTAATACGCTATTCGTATCCGTCTATGCGCTCGATTTTTCGCGCAACACATCCTGTTTTTCCGTGATAGAAGATAATTAACAGATACATTTGAAAGACATTTTATATAGTTATCGGAAGTTTTTATCATGTTAGATATTTAACCCTAAGCAGTTGAATATATAATAAATATTAAGCCACAAAAATAATATATTATATAAATTACATAAATAATATTATATAATATTATATAATATTCTATAATATTATATAAATAATCTAAAAGACTATAACTTTATTTTACATAAATTTTATCATTAAAATGCGATGGAATGTTCGCAAACCGCGTTCGCAAAACTGCCACCTCAGCGAACCACGCGCGAGTTCGCCAGAAATGCATATGAAGAGTTTCGACTTCGAAATGCCTTTGCCACAAAGTTCATCATGACCTTATATGGTCATGTTGCTAGGCGATTTCCCTCCATATTTTGCTAAAAACTAGTGAATAAAAACTGTTCACCGGGAGCGCGCGACGGACAATCGTTAAGAAAAAATTAATTAATAAAGAATATATCTGAATCTGTTGGAGTGAGATAGTATAAAAAGTTGTTGTTTTACGAGTTAACGTGACATCATTTAATGTCAAATAAATCGGTGCGTGTGCTCTTGTAAGTATTTATTGATATTTTAAAGATTTATTAATTTATATTTTTCTTACGATTTTCTTACTTTTGTAGCTGTGTAAAATCAAAATTATAACAATTATATTATTATTATTATTATTATTTCATCTTGTGTTATTATTATTTCATCTTAAATTAAACAAATTTAGAGTCTCGTGCGTCATTTCATACATACATTTTGAGCTTATTTATACTTAATGTTTTAATATCTTATCACATATTAAATATAAATTTGACTTGTTATACCAATATTTCCAGTTATACACGCGAAAAAAACGTAATTACATAGATAAATATATTCGTGTTAGTTATCTTCTATCACGGAAAAACAGGATGTGTTGCATGAAAAATCGAACGCATAGACAGATAAGAATAGCGTATTACAGAGAGGTTTATGGATTCGTAAACAAATAACCTTTCACATGGTAATAAAGAAATTTCAAAATTAAAAAAAAATATATTTAGTAATGGGGGTATTGTGAAAATTTTAAAATCAAAAATTTTTTTGTAATTATTATAAATAATTGTAAACTCTTAAAGCCACTTAACTTTTAATTTGAAAATTTTTTTCTATTTCTTATAGTTTCTGAAATATTCATTTTGAAAGAAAAAAATGATTTTTTTCAAAAGGATGTTTTACCTCTTAAACACGCGTATGGACACGTATAAAAAAATACGTGTCCTTTATTTTTGTCTAGAAAACAAAATATTAAAAGCTCATCAAAATCGGAGGGAGACACTTCTGTGTCTTTCCTTGTTAGTATACCAGTTTAAAATATATCAGTTTAAAAGTCAAGGATTCTGTTTTATATTTATAATGAATTTTTTATATTTATAATGAATATGTCTATATTGGAAAATGTCATATGTATATTTGCGATGTCTATGAGTTTCTTTCTTCAGTAATAATGTCGAAATGATAAAAAAAGTAAAAGGAATATAAAATATATGCAGATTCAAGTTATATACGGGATGTCTGATAAGGAGATAAAATATAAGATATAAGATGTCCCACTAAATATATATAAGTACACATTTCGTTAAATTAAATTAAAAATAGAAAGTCCTATACTATTTTGCAAATAACCATGTAAAATTTCGAAAGAATTAAAGAAGATCGACTAATAAATGCGCGAGGCTAGATCATAAGATGTGCGCTCTAGGCATGCCAGAGATAAGTGTCGTATAATGAAAAGGCAAGAGTCGATATACATCATCAAACTTTTCATTCACATATGACACACACCGCTAGCATACCTAGAATAAACATCTCAAAAACTGACCAATGAAACGGGTGTTCGTATCTCTTTTAATTAATATTTCAATCATTATTGCAAAAATTACAAAATCATAAAGGATTTTTATGTTCAATATACTGTACTGTACTTGCTCACGAGCATTATCAAGAATATTCTGGAACATTTTGTATTTGTAGTCTCTATATTATATCGAATAACTTTCATTACACAATTGTTAAAATGCATACCGAGATTTTAAGGCCATCGCGAGAATTCCAGGATTACTTAGAATATAGATTCTTTCAAAATAGGCGAATGCAATTGAACTTAAACGAAAGAGGAAAAGAGAATTCTGCATTTACTTTGAGATAGAGGAAACTATTGCATTAATATTCCCATTAACGCTTGCAAGTGAATATTTTCTTTCTGGCCGACTCTGGCGATTCGCGGAAACGTCCTTTTCGCGAGGCCAAAAATATGTAGTGTAAATAATCCCTTATTCACACAAGTCTTTATTAAAGCAAAAAATTTTTAAATATTTCTATAATTTTTACAATTTTTATAAATTGAAATTTATTACAAGTATATTTTTACGCCCGGAGCGAGAATTTCGATATGTATCGCGCATTAAAGAAATCGGCCGTCGCGGACCGCGTCAAATGAATAAACATTTTTAAAGATAACAAGGGGACTTTAATAGGCTTTAACAGCAATACAGAACACAATCAGAATTATAACACAATGGAACGTATGAAAAATGCGTCTGTATAACTTGACAGCTATTTCCCAACTGAAATGACGGCTGCTGCCGTCAACAACTTCTTGACAACGAGTTCTTCTTCCCTTTTCAAGACAGACTCAAACCAGGGACGAACAATATATATTAAAGGATAATATATATCATAAATATATATACACTAAATATATATTAAAGGAAAAGAATATATATATATATATATATATATATATATATATATATATAACAGTGAAAGATATTAATTAAACAATATTACTTGGTTAAATTTTACGTAGTAAATACATAAGAAGTCAAAAAATAAAATAATTGAATAATAAAAGTTATTATATACGTGTATACATATATTAACTGAATTATAAAAATTAAAGACAAATTAAAATAAGACAGGTACACATAACTACAAAAATTGTGTATAATTATGAATATATTCTTTCAAAGAGTAAAGAGTAAGAATAAGCAAATTTCTTCTGCGCAGATTTAATGCGCAGCTCACATGTTATGTATATAAAGAGAACGGTTATACGTATTAAACACATTCTAACATTGAATAGAGCGTTAGTGACATCGTGTAAGTTAATTCAATATAATTAATTATATATTACTATTGGTCATACATCCTAGATAAAAAGTGATAAATAATGCGGTTTTTTAAGAAAATGTGTGAAAGTAATGTACGTCTTGATGGAAAAACTGTTGTAATAACAGGAGCAAGTGGTGGTATTGGTAAGGAGACTGCCAGAGATTTTTATGGAAGAGGTAATGTCTTTAAAAAAAATAATAATTTATCCTTCTGGTAATTTAAACATTGAAATTTTTTGAAATGAGAATTATAATATATGTATTGTCAATATATTATATATGTGCATGCCCAATTAGAAATATATAGTTGATATCGTATTAACGTGACATTGTATTAACATCGAAAATTAAATCTTGAAGTAAAGTTGAAGTTCTGATCGAATCAGAAGTAAAGTTGAAATTCTGATCGAATCATCGAAATGGTACAAATTGTTGTCGAATCATCGATTATTATTTCTATATAATTTTAATACTGAATTCACCAATTGATTATATCCAAGTATTTTGCAAATTAAGTCATTTTAGATGATTCATTTAGATTATAATTACAACACAAAGTTAAAAATAAAATTTCATTAATTTTAACGTTAAATTCTTGAATGTCGCCAGCCAGTAGATAAAATAAAAGAACGTAATTTAAATCGACCACATCTTATTTCTCACTATATAATAGTTAATTAAGTTACTTTCATTTGATAAGGATCAAAACTCATGGTCGAAACGTTGTGATACACTAACCAATAAATCGCCAGAGTGGTCAATTTAAATTAGGTTCTTTCATTAATTTTATTAAATAAAAAGTACTTAATGAATAAATATATTATATATATATACATATGTGTGTGTGTGTGTGTGTGTGTGTAAATTCTACTGCAGAATAAAAAATTTTATAAAATAGAAAAAAAATTATTTTAATTATGACATGTAACTGTAATAAAAATTGTATATATATATATATATTAATCGTATTGTATAGACTACATATTGCATTGTCAAAAAATGAACAATAAATTATATGTACTTACAACTCTTAATTTTATATACACTTAGTATACATAGTTTCAAAGTCGATAATTCTGTTTTATATTTGTAATGAATATGTCCAATTGGAAAATGTCATATATATATTTGCGATGTCTACCAATTTCCTTCTTTAATAATAATGTCCAAATAATAAAAAAGTAAAAGGAATATAAAATGTACAGATTCAAGTAATATACAGGGTGTCTGAGATAAGATATAAGATGGTATAAAATGTCCTGCTAAATAATATACTATACTATAATAATATACTTTAATACTTATACATAAAAATATATCAGTAGATCTCGTTAAATTAAATTAAAAATAGAAAATCTTTTATTATTTAGTAAACAACCATGTAAATTTCGAAAAATTAATTAATAAAAGAGGACTAATGAGTGCGCGTGACTAGATCATTATAGTGCGCTCTATGGATGCCGAAGACAAGTATCGTATGGCAATGAAAAGACAAGAGCCGATATACATATGATCAAATTTTTCGTTTACATGCCGTAACACACGCCGCTAGCATCCCTAGAATAAACATCTCTGACTATGCAAAATGAGCGTTCGCATATTTTTTAATTAATATTTCAATAATTATTACGAAAATTGCAAAATCGTGAAGGATTTTTATGTTCAACATACTGCACTCTATTCGCTCACAAGCATTATCAAGAGTGTTCTGGGACATCCTGTATTTGTATTTTCTATATTATATCGAATAACTTTCATTATATAATTGTTAAAATGCATACCGAGATTTTAAGATCATCGAGCGAGAATTCCAGGATTACTTAGAATATAGATCCTTTCAAAATGGGTGAATATAATTGAACTTAAATGATAGGGGGAAAGAGAAAGAATTTTGCATTTACTTTGAGATAAAGAAAACCATCGCATTAATGTTCCCTTTAACGTTTGCAAGTGAATATCTTCTTTCTGATCGACTCTGGCGATTAGCGGAAACGCTTCTTTCCGCGGAGTGAAAAATATATAGTGTAAATAATCCCTTATTCACACAAGTCTTTATTAAAGCAAAAAATTTTAAAATATTTCTCTAATTTTTACAATTTTTATAAATTGAAATTTGTTATGCCAGCTTAATAGACGCAATTCTACGCTCCTTTTGTTCCGCCTAGGAAAGAATCGTTGTCGCTTACTGTACATGTATAACTATAATGATGTGTGCATATTTATGAATACATATATTTAAAATAAGTAAAGTGAGTAAGAAAAGTGTGAATTCCTACTGCGCAGATTTAATGCGCAATTGTTTTTTATATAAGCAGTATATAAAGCAGTATATAAATAGCGATTGCTTCGTATTATGCACATTGCAAAGTTGAATAGAGTGTCATTGATATCGTGTAAGTGAATCCAATATAATTAATTATATATTACTGTTGATAACATCCTAGACAAAAAGTATCATAAGTAATGTGGTTGTTTAAGAAAATGTGTACAAGTAATGTACGACTTGATGGAAAAACTGTTGTAATAACAGGAGGAAGTGGTGGTATTGGTAAGGAGACTGCCAGAGATTTTTATGGAAGAGGTAATATCTCTAAAAACATGATAATTTATCCTTCTGGTAATTTAAGCTTTGAATTCTTTTTGAAATGAGAATATAATGCATGTACAATTATACACACATATACATATACATTATGTACGTAATATGTATAGAGTTTTAATTTAGAATTATAGAAATATTTAAATTTGACGAGTCATAACATAAGATATAATTTTTTTCGATTGATATTCATTCTCCGAATGATATTTATTTTAATAATTAAGGTTTTATAAATACCTGAACATAAACAAACGTGTGCATTATTATTGTTATTATTATTATTATTATTATTATATATAACATATTATATACATTATATTTGTTTATGTTTCAATATTTACCTTAGAATCCTTAGTTATTAAAGTAAATATCACCACTCGAAGAATAAACATCGATCCAAAAATTGTATCTCGTATTTATATTACTCATTAAATTTATATATTTCTAAATTTAAATGCTATATTATGTATCCAGTCAGAAGTGTAATATTATAAAGGTTAATTCGGTGATATAAGAATATATTTATCTTTGTGTGAGATATAATATAATATATAACATACATGCATCATACATACTTCATATAGATACAAATATTCCCTTATATTCAAAATTTTACCGCGCAAATTTTTGTTGTTCATAAATCTGTTTTTATGTTATATTTATATTTATTTTTATGTTATATTTATATTTATTATTAATAACATTCGATTGTATTTATTATGATATATTGTATTATATTTGTTATTGATATTAATAAGAAAAATCTCACTTACGAAACATTTATAACAGACAATCTCAGATATTATAAAACGTTTAAAAATAAATATATGTTGCGTGATTTGACCTTTACAACAACAACTTGCAGTTATTCAGACATCAAATCAATCTTGACAACACATCACATTTCTAACTATATGAGTACATAAATTGGAATGATAATTCAAATATGTTTAAATTTGATGAGTAAGCTAAATAAGGTCATCTTGTTAGACTTTGAATCAATATTGAATTGACGCATTACACTTCTGAATGGATATATAGTATAGAATTTTAATTTAAAAATGTATAAATTTTATAAATAATATAAAAATTATGAATAATAAATACATGTAATTTTTTCGATTGTGATATTTACTCTAATAATTAAAGGTTTCGTAAATATACATATATAAACAAACGTGTGCATTTAGGCGCTAGGGTAATTCTGGCCTGTAGAAACATGGAAAAGGCAAACGAAGCGGTTAAAGATATAAAGAATAATCCACCTTCCAGGTAAATATATAAAATCATATTATAAGAATTAATTAAATTAACAGTAATTATTTAATTGGCATATTAATTATTAAAACGAAATCTTCCGTCATTTTTTTTCTTTTACTTTTCATATGAAACTATACTTCTTTCATCAAATATTTGGCGCGACGAATAACAGAACAATATAATCCAGATGCCTGCTTTTTTTATGTTTTTAGAATTAAAAAAGAAGAGTATCAAAACAGTGCGGGTGAACTTGCAATTTATTTTCTTAATTTATGTAGTTTGAAGAGCGTGAAAGATTGTGCTAAAAATTTACTGATGAAAGAAGCAGCCATTCACATTCTTGTAAACAATGCTGGAGTGGCTGCGATTTTATACGAAAAAACAGAGGACGGAATTGAGACGACTTTGCAAACGAATCATCTTGGACATTTTCTTTTGACGCTTCTACTGTTGCCAAAAATGCAAGCGTCTTCCCCAGGTTGCAGAATAGTCAATGTATCATCAATTATTCATATTTGTATGTAATAAAACCCCGTAATATCAGTTTTATTATTTACCGAAAAAAATATACTTGCTCTAATTTCATTTGCATAAATATAAGAACATAAATATAAGAGAAGCATTTTATTACAGTTAGAGACATAGATTTTGATGATATTAATCTAGAAAAATCTTATGGCCCACTCAAAAGTTACTTCCAAAGTAAACTGGCAAACATTCTCTTTACAAGGGAACTCGCTCGTCGATTGAATAGTAATATTAAACAAAGAAATATTTTACGATAATTCACGAAATAGTTCGGAAAAATGATCGACAAAATAAAAGAAAGTAAAACACGAATAAATTAAATATGTATTAATATATAAAATATTTTAATTTGTAGAAGCAAATATTCACGGAATAAACGTATATTCTTTGCATCCCGGCCTTATACCAACGGAGATAAGTCGATCAGCTAATAGTACGATATTTCCAGGTGGAAGTTATGCTTATAATTTTTTTACATGGCTATTCTTTAAGACTGTTGAAGAAGGAGCACAAACAACGATATATTGTTCAGTAGATGAAAAAACAACCAATGAGACTGGATTGTATTATTCGTGAGACATATTATATATTATATAGAATTATCTATACATTTTATTGTTATAATGTGTAATATGTTTTTCCGCTCTGTTTTTTTTATTTATGTAGTATTATGTTGTATCATGTATATTTTTTTATGTAGAGACTGCAGTGTCGCCAATCCATATTGGAAAGCGAGAAATGATGAATACGCTAAAAATTTATGGGATGTATCCTGCAAGCTTCTGAATTTAGAGTTAGAAGAAGATTTTACTACATTTCTACAAAGTGTCTCACGTCAAATACTATAAAGAAATATTTTTTTTCTTTGAAAACTGGTAATGAATTAAACAATTAATAACAGTAAAAGAATTATCGAAAAAGTTATCAGAAAATTTAAAATAATAATTCTGTTTATACTCTATAATAAATCTTTACTTTATTACATATTATAATTTTCTCGAAAAAAAGAAATATATAAATACCCTTTTTTAATTTTTTATATATCTTAAATTTCAGTATGTATGTCTATCATATTATACTGCATTAATTGGATATTATATCATCAAAAGTGAAAGACAATAAATTATATATAATCTTTTAATGTTTATACATAGTTTGAAAGTATTAATAATAATGTTTTATAAGTTAGTGATAAATATTTGCATCAAATTAGAAAGTGACATATGTATATTTGATGTGTCCACTTGTTCTTTTCTCCGATGGATGTAAATAAAGAAAGGCGAAGTAACACGAACATAAAATATGCATCATAAAATTATATTACTTCTATATGTGTGTGTGTGTGTGTGTGTGTGTGTGTGTGTGTGTGTGTGTGTGTGTGTGTGTGTGTGTGTCTGTCCAAAATTTAAATGTCGAAACTTCGGGAGCGTATAAAGAATCAATAAACTCAAAAAAAATCCTTTAAAGGTTTGTTTCTGCTTCATTTTAGAGAAAGTCTTAAAAAAACCATGTCTGCATATTATGGTGAATCAATTCATTTCATGGTGAATAATTCACTGACTAATTTATAAAAGAAAAATAGAAATATATATAAACAAACTAAAGTAAACAGAGAGAGAGAGAGAGAGAGAGAAAGAGAGAGAGAGAGAGAGAGAGAGAGAGAGAGAGAGAGAGAAAGAAAATACAATGATCTCATACACATACACACTCATTGTCGTATATTATATTGAGCATTTACAATCCTTTAATTTTACTTCAAAAGGATTGATTTTAATTTATATTTTTTCATAATTTCATGCTCTAAAACTGTTATCTCATAGTACTTTTCGATAAACCTAATAATTTTAGTGTTGTTTTTCATTTTCTGGTGAAAACTTTTTTGTTTTTTTTTGTGATTTTCTCCAAAGCGAAACAAAACGAGCAAATCTCTAGAGAATTTTCTTTCTTATTGTTAGTCTATCGATCCTTCACACGCTTCTAAAGTTTGACATTTAAATTCGGGATGTGTATATATATTATAATATAATACTGTTTAAATATTGATATTATATATAACATCGTTACATTATATAAAAATTACGACAGTTAATAAAAAAATTTGTTCTTAATTCTTTCTCTCTCTAATGATCATTATATCGCAGTAAAGGAATTTCTTGATCTAATGGCTTTATAATGATCTTTCTATGAAAAGCTCTGATCTTTTTCTTGATATTGCGATTTTATCCGTTTAATCCATGTCGCGAAAGCAGAGGAAGATAAGAAAGCCTACAATGTGTAATTCTATAAGAAGTCTTTTTTTAGAGACATTAACTAACGCGAAAAGTTGCGAAGCATTTTATCATATTAAAAAATACCTTTCAATAATATTACGTAATTGAATATAAAATACTTAGCTATACATATGTGTATTTATGTATATTCTCCATATGTTATATTCTCTCTCTATATACATATTATTTATATTATATTTCTCTATATATATGTGTGTGTATTCTCTATATTTTCATTATACAATTGTTAAAATGCATACCGAGATCTCAAGATCGTTACGAGAATTGCAGAGGACGCACAGTTTTCCAAAAATATAAACCCTTTCAAAACGGAGAACTGCAGTTGACAGTGCGCTTGAGCTTAATCGAGACCCGAGGGAGAGTCCAAGCGAAAGAGTCCACCTGCATTCGCTTTGAATTAGGGGAAACCGTCGCATTAACGCTCCCATTAACACTTGCAAGTGAATATCTCCTTTATGGCCGATTCTGGCGATTCGCGAAAGCACCCTTTTCGCGGGCAGCTACATAAACTTTTGAGAAAGCCGCATCGCACGGACGATAAATTGTTGATATATGTGCTGCGACGATGTGTTCCGTCGCGTATAACGACGGTTGCAGAAATTGCATCACTTATCTCGCGTGTCACGTTCAGGATTTGTGCATCGCAATATTCACCGGAAAAAAAAAAATGACGTCGAGTAGTCCTGTGATATAACAGTTAATTATTTTCAAATCCTATTCTCTTTTATGTTTTATTTGATCTTTATTTTATTATAAAAATATATTTTAGGATTGTTATTATTATTATTATTATTACTATTATTATTATTATTATTATATTAAGATGTAAAAATAAAATTCAGAAAAAAGTTGAGTGAATTGATAGGATTTAAATTCATTAATATTAGTATATAATTCCGCCTTCATTTTTTCATAGATAAAATCAATATCTGGGAAATAATTGTATTTTTTGTCTTTTTTTTATATAAATAGAGATATGAAATGGCGTACGTGCTCGTGTAATTTAGCAAGTAACAGAAAACTTTCCGTGTTCCATCAACGACGTATAAAAGCACGTTAGAGGGAAATGAGTTCGTCACGTCTTTGAAGGTCAACATCGTAAGGAAAGGTGGAAGAACGACCTCGTCCTGCGAATCTCGTTAAGGGCGAGTCTCGCATTTACCCCCGGCTCTCGAGACGCATTTGCACGCGCGGAACAATTTATTGCACCTTTCTTGCGCGTTAAAGCGTACTATGAACCGCATACCTTATGCTAGGTTCCCAGCTGGGTCGAATCATAAATCGTGCGACTATCTCCCTTCCTCTCTCGGATCCTTCGTCCGTCTCTCACCCTCGGTCCACCACGGTCATCCTTATTTCTTACACGACGAGTCGAGAAATCCTCTCCTTCGTACACCTTTAAGAGCAGTCACGAGCAATGTCCAGAGTCGCCTTCTTCGGGATATGTACGAGTCTCCTTCTGCTCTCGACTCGTCCGTGCTAGTTATTTAAATCTTTGCCCTACGTGTTTCGCACAAGTTTTTATCACTCGCGCTCTTATCCCTGCGAGCTTTGTTTACGAGCGGTTTCATTCGAGATGCGCGTACGTGCCGCATACACACGTGTCGTGGTACATTCATGGTATTTATCCATCATGCAACTGCACGATGCCTTCAAAACGAGATTAATATTTGCACGAAAAACTAGTCTATATTAGAGAAATCTCTCTCTCTCTCTCTCTCTTTCTTTCTGTTGATACATGCAAAATTGGAAAATATTTTTTTACGAGTATTATTTTAAAGATTTGAAAAAGCTCTCTAAAGCGTGAATGTGCCAGAGAGTCGAAGTTTTTATTGAAGTTCTTTTTGTATACTGTAGAATTATTTTTCGATCTGATAGTCACCGCGATGAAATAACGCGTCTCATCGACATCGATAAAATATCGTTGACAAAATACCGATGGTACGCGTCTCGCATATTTTAAATCGGGTCTGGCGAATTATCCTTTCGCATCCTGTATTGCGCACCGGAAATGAAATATTACTTCTCCCCTCTTGCTCGGGGAAAATTTGATATACCGAGACATTTGCGGCGCTCGCGAACCCCATTACATCACGTTTATGGCGACCGCGACGCTGAAACTTGATAATTACATTATGTCACAATGTTCTTTTATGACACGCGACATTACTAAGTGGCGCATGATTACTGGTGACATTTTACGCGTCTTACAAGCTCCTTAGGTCGATGATACATCTTTTACAACCTGCAAGACACGCTCCTCGTTGTATCATCAACGAATTTTAGTCTTTACACTAATCAATTATACATAGATATTATTTATGTGGCCAGTTATCGTTTTTTATTACTTTGAAATAATGTTTAATCTTTTTAATTCTATGGAATTACTAGCGTATCTATTCCAGTCATAATAAACTTGATTTATTAACATATACAATTTATATAATATAATTGTATTACACTCTTATGATTTTTATAAATCATAAGAGAATAGGAGAATAATTAATTACTATTTATTTGTGCTTTCTCTCTTAATAAAGAATTATATTAATTTATATTTAACATCGGTATTGCACTTTCATATTTATTTCACTATCATAATTAGTTCGATTAATTCTACTTGTTGGAAAATTAAAATTCACGCTGTGTTAAATAACTGGGCATTCATTGACAACGCGACAACATATAAACGGTATTGAATCGTTTTTGTGTAATAGCAATTTGGTATATTTATTATCTGATCGGAATAAAGAACGGAATGAAACGAACAACCTCGATTATACGCTGGGCTTGCAATTATACCGAAAAAGCCCGCGATTCGTCGTGCAGACTATCGTGTAGCGGCACGCGTAATTATTGGTTTACTGTCAAGCATATCTTGGTAAGTTTCATCGCGATTAAAACGAGGTATGTATTTCGCAGCGGGGGAAACAATCGATACGAAAACCGAACCGCGCATTGTCGATTCGTTAGGATTAAATTTCAGTCGCCGAATAAATTCGCTTTTTTTGGCAGCGGTGATTTGAATATCACTGTTGATGAATAAATGCTATTTGTTTAAAGCGATTCATTTTTTTTCGTCGATTATACGAAAAAACAAACATTACAATGTGTAAAATATTGTAATGAAGTACTGTCGATTGTTTTAAAGTGTTGAATAAAGATTCAACATTTTGATCAAAATCGCCAAATTAACGCAAGTCCGCTAGTCTAACATAAAAAGTATAAAATGCCTTTGTCACTCACCGCTTTTAACGCCTCCAAGTCTCCCTTTTTCAGCATATCCATTAGTCTCTGGTGATCAATTTCTTCCTTCGTCATATATATTTTTTTACTCTTCAATTTCTCGTTCTCGTAATCGTCGCACAGAATATTATGAAAATTCACTTGCTGAACACTATGATCCGCTTTTGTTTCGGCCGGAATTTCCGGCAAATCTTGCTCGAATCGCAAATTTTTAACAAGAACTTCATTGATCACCGCACCATGATCTTCAGCATTCTTTACTGTCTCTTCACGATCTTGCGATTTTTCACCAAACTGAAGTCTATTCCGAGAAGAATCTCCTTCACTCTTTAATCTTGAATTTCTTTGACTCTCTAGTTCATCGATAGAAATTGTAGCGGTTGACAGATTGCTATTTTCTCGCGAATGGATCATCAGTCGGTCCTGATCCTCTCGCGATTCGTTTTGATAGGCGGTTGCTTGATCCTGAAGAATCATCGTCTCCTCTGAATTTTGTTTAGTCTCTTCCTCGCATTTTTTCATTTCCGAAGGTCGAGTCTGGACGTTTGATTTATCCTGACAAGATGATGTTGTCGTTTGGAAAGTCGTGAAAGTCTTTGCGGATTCATTAAAGGCAACCAGATGCTGCTGATCCTTGGCATAAATCGACGATTTATCCTTCCTCTTATCCGCCAAGTCTCTCGATCTACCGTTCGGCAGATTCTGCTGCACTTTCAGGCACTGCTTCAAGCCAATCTCCGGATATTTGCAGACCGAATCTTCGCTCTTCCGATCGTCCTCCTCGATAGTCTCGAGATGTTCGTGCCGCGACTCGCCGATTCTGTCGAACGACTCGTCCTCGAGAGTCGACGAGGTTTCCTTGACGGGCGAGTCTCGATCCGATCTGGAAGCGCTGATTCTTTCACCGTAAGGCGATACTTGTAGCGAAGGTCGAAGAATCGATTCGAGATCATCTGCGTGGATCACTTGCGGTTGCAGACTGCGCTCGTAAATCCTCTCCACGTGATCGGGCGAGGTATAACGCGTGATTTTGCTAGACGAGACAGCCTCGCAGATTGCGACCTTGGATCCCGTGACGTTCTGTTCGTTCGATTGTTTTTGCGAATCGATCGCGATGTAGGCTCGATTGTTCGGTTTGAAGCTCGACGAAGACACGTCGATCGGCGCTTTTGTACGATCCTGTGTTCCAATGTCTCGTGAAGGAGATATGCCGAGATCCTTGCGCGAAAAGATCGGTGGCTTTCTGATTTCCATGGATGCTCCTTCGACCTCGTGACACCTGATTTTTGAATCGCTGCGAGACTCCGCTTGACCTTGAAGAACCCGTGCGTGAGCACCAACTGTCAAACCGTAGCTCGATTGTTCCTGTCGCGGTTGAACGATCGATCGAGCCTCTCTACGAACATCGTTGGAAATCTGAAATCGACGTCGTGATTCGATCGCGATTCCCGATTTCATCGAGGTGACTCTCGGATTATCTCGAGAATGGTCGGCTGCGCAACTCGTCGGTGATTCCGTCGATTTACAGATCGCCTCGACCGCTTTATCGGTGGCAAGTCGCGGCGTCGACTCGCTCGCCGCAGCAGCTGGCCGCCTACTTTCTCCGTCCTTATTTGGTGAGATCAGCTCACCTTGGTCACCAAGGTTCCCAGTCGGCAGTGAGCCCTTTGAGAAGCCTGCTTCGTGCGGCAAACGAGTCTCCTCCTTAACGAGCGAACGTGTCACCACACAGTTCTGATCCGCGCCATTCCCAGAACGTTTCAACGATGGTTTTCTGCAAGAAATAATTGACGCCGTTGTCGTTGATGTAATGGTAGATATTTCGACCACCTTGGAACTATTAACGCTCGTTTTACCGTGATTGGATTCGCCTCTCGTTTTCATTAAATTCGCAATCCTGGCATCGGTCGAACTTTTCTCTTCTAAATTCATCTCGGCGCGCTTAGATCTGAAGCTCGAACCGAAGGGCTCCCTCTGAGGAATTCTAGAGGCCGGGCTGGAATCACCAGATCTCGACACGACGTTCGACTGAGCGCCGAAACCATAATCCTGCTGCTTGACTTTGTTCTTCATCGCCAGGTATTCTTTATATGTGCCTCTGCTAGTGTTCACACCAACATTCACCTTATCCGGCCTGGCATGTTCCATTTTACAATCCATTCGAGTCAGATCGTCGTAGCTTGAAGAGGTTCCACCGTTCAACCTGCTCTTTGATTCATCGATCGAACGCGATCTCGAGTCTTGAGCGCGATATCTTCGCTGGCTCTTTTGCTCGGCGCTGCTGTTGGATCTCGTCAAGGGTTTTTCGCGAGGAGACGACGGAAAGTTCTGATTATGCGCCTGATTCAGCCACTCATCCACCCGCTTCTGGACTTCTCCTTTGCGCAACAACATCTCGGGCATCTTCGAGCGACTGCTTTCAATCGCGTCCATCGTTGTTGGCGACGAAGCGCGGCAGTTATCTTGTTGATGTGCCTTCTGTCTGTCCCGCGAACGCTGTCTCACCTGAGTCTGCTGGTTCACCTTCAATACCGGTTGAATCTTCTCCCTCGTTGGAATTGATTTAATCTGAACCTTCGCGCCAGATAGCTTTGATCTTTCTTGTTGTTGCTGTCGCTTTTGCTGATCCATTATTATCGCTTCGAAGTTGGTCACATTAATATTGCCGACGTCGCTAAGATCCGACGATCTGCAGTAATCCAGATCCTCGTACTCGTCCAGAATATTGTTCACTGATTGTGCGTCGATCGAGCTGGTGCTCTTTGACTTGTTTCTCGCGACGCTTTCGTCGCTGCTCGAATTATTGTGCTGCTGCTGATGTTCTCGGCTGATTTGTCGCTTGGATTGCGGCCTCGGTTTCTGATATCTGAGCACCACGTTCTCGTAACGCTGCGGAGCGCTTTCGATTTCTACGTTTTGGTCTTTCCTCGAGACGGACGATTGTCGCGCATGACGTTGCTGAAGCGATTCCCGCCGATGATTGAGCATCTTGCCGTCGTCAGATACCGACAAGTCCCGCTTTGCGATCATCGACGGGCCGGAAACCGAAAAGGTCGTGAAGCTCTGCACGTTCCGCAAGCACGTGTCTCCCCCCTCGGCGTTTGTCAATCTCTTCGACGTGATCCATGAAGCGATTGGACGAGAGGCGCCGTTGCCCCCATTAGGCGCATCCTCATCGAAGGAAATGTTGCTGGACTTTGAAATTATTTTATCACTCATTTTCTGTCGCAAATCGGCATCTTGAACGCATCTTATCGAAGAAAAGGAATATCGATGACTCGAGATTCTGAAATAAAAATATTTCACGATTAGAATAAAAATGTCTCTGAAATTTAATATAGAAAATTATCGAATGATTGCTTGGCTATTTTATAATTTTGAATTTGAGAAAATTTCCCTTTTTTTAATTATGCGACAGAAAATATTAAAGTATAAATACGAGAAGATCGATTTAAAAGAAAAGTTGAACGGTTAAGAAAGAATTTAGTAGTTTTTGAAAAAGAATAGTATATTACAATTATTTATCGGAAGAAATTATTTAACACAGAAATTCCCTACTTGTTTAATGAAACACTATGTTGTTTAAATGTGAGAAGTTACATCATTGTTCGAAAATATACGACCAGGCACGCTATAGCTAAAGTATAACTAAAAGCAGAAACTGCAATTTGTCGACTAATTTATCAGCTTTGATAACGCGATTAACTTCGCGTAAAATTGTGGAAACTGTTTCGCCGAATATGCTCCGAGCAAGTAGTACCAAAAATTATCCACCGGAAGTGGTCTCCGTGCAGTAACTGCTTTCCCAAATCTAGCGTAATAAACTCTCAAATTCGCGAACGCTCGGCGTTAAAGCGGCTGGCAAAGAACGTTCTCCTCGTTAATTTTTCACCTAGCGCGAAAATTTACGTATGTGCTCCATTAAATGGCACCGTTGCATTTCGACTACATGCGTATTACGCGTTTTAATTTACGAAGACCGATCTTTTTAATCCAACCGTCGTTTTTTAATTCAGCGAGAATCGTCAAAAATATGGTATATCATAAATAATAAAAAATCTGATACAAATATAATTTGCGTAAATCTTAAGAACAATTTAAAAATACGTTTCTATTTTGTAAAAGAGAGAAATTATGTAATCCAGGTTGCAAAAACCAGGGATGTGTCTCGTAAAATACAACGTAAAATTTAGAGTTAAAATCTCCTCGGCAAAATTTGCCATTTCGAACTCGACCACGTTCCGGAAATCGGCGATAAATAGCAGAAGGCGCGCTTCCGTAACGATTGCGCCGATCCGACATCGGCGGCACGTTCTGTCGTTGATGGAATTTCCGGCAGTTGACCGATATCCGGTTTGAATTAATTCAGTTCCTCAATTCGGGGACGGTAAATATTATAATACGCCCGCCGTGGAGATCGTGCGAGGAATCGTTAAGAAACCCAAGAGACTAACAGAATTTAATATGTCCGTCGAGAGACTAATAAACGCGAAACAACGTAATTCTTCCATAAAAAATGATATAAAATTTCTATGATGTAGTGATCTGTCTTTTTAAGTCACAGATTATTATATCACATCATGTAAAATATCATTAATGTATGTAAATATATATTTTTAAATAGTGTATAAATAATAATTTTTTTTATACATAAAATATGATTCATCAAATCGCTTTAATCATATATCTAATTATTATCTTTCTTAGATCGGCTAATTTTTCTTTACGATTGTCCTGTAAAGTACTTAGAAAAGAATTAATATGAATAAAACAATTTTTTTAGTTAAATCACTTTATATACGTAAATGAATATTGATTGTATTTTACAAGAGAATTTAAGCTAAAATATTTTAAAATGGCGTTATGTTGAGAAAACACAATGAAACAGCATGTTTATTTCATTACTTCGTCATAAACATGTTTATTTCGTCATAACCAGAAAATGCATTTTAGTTAAAATTTTACTTCAATTATTATTTCGCTTCTCTCTCTCCCATATATTTTCCTTAGGGTATAATATCTCTCAGATGAGATCGCGATAACGCATATCGATGACGTAAATTAACATAATTAACAAGACCGGATTCGAAAATCTAACTCACGAGGGTGTTATTAATGCGTAGCGGCGCAGCCTGAAATGTAAATTAAACAAAACGTGTTTAATGGAGCGAATTAAAACGCGAAAATGCGAAAAACCGCTGCTGCTTATCGGAAACTCTGTTTGGATCAATGTAAATTGCATATTTTCGGCAAACAATTGGTTTTCAGCAACGATGTATCATCCAACGTGAATAAAGGTCGGCGGTAAATATTCATAAAACAGCGAACGATAAGAGGATGGAACGGGGGAGAGATAGAAAGAGGTGAAGGGATGTAATCGGATAATGTGCAATATTCGCAGAACGTGTGTAAAAAAGGGATGGTAGATTTTATTTCATTTAATCACGATTCGTTGCGCGGTAACGATCGATGCATCGGTATAATTCGGTAGCCCCGCTAAAATCGGCAAATGCGCCAGGTAAATATTAAACGTGAAATCGCGCGGACTCGGCGAACATTGCCGACCCCCACTGGGAGGGTAGTTGCAATTCACACGAGACGAGAAGACCGCGCGCGCGAGCGGCGTAAATTGAATTAAACTGTCGTGGCTTTTCGTGCTGTATTACGATGTTATACCGGAGCTCTAATGATTCCCACGCGAACACACACACACGTGTACACTTTGAAGCCCCCCCGGCTGGAATTCTACTTTTAGATCGCAGATAAAACGCGTAACCTACCGTGTCGTAACGAAACGTACGTGAGTCATTCATGGGTGAGATCGACCTTTAAAGCGGCGTGAGTGAGCATTCAGTCAAATTATTCGATTGATTTAATTTTAATTAGCCTTATTTAGCTTTGCGCGATTGCAAGTGTTCCACGTGAAAGCAAATTCCTTTAGAAATTTGTCAAATTTATACTGCGAGAAATAATTACACATTGAAATAAATTTATGCCTCGTATCACGAGATGTGTAACGGAGAATGGAGACTACTAGAACGAAAAAGCAGAAACATGGATAATGAAGGTAGCATGATAAAAAAAAGAGAGATACGCCAGAGATGGTAAAAATAAATTTTTCTCAAAAATTTTATTTTTTTAACAGGTTTTAATTACATTACATGCGTTACGCGATATACAAATGAGAGCAAAGATTGAACTTGCCGCTGGAGAATATTAATTTCAATGAAATGTTTACCGCTTTTGCATTCCAGGAATGCGAGGTGTGTTAGCCGACGTAATTAACGGTACTGCAAAATTCAGGTGTTTCCACGAATGCACTGACCCGAATCTTCTACGCAAGCACCAACGTCCGATGTATAAAGGTGACTATGATTTGCGACGATTATCATAATTTATTGTCCATGTGCTCGTCGCAATTTAACTCGTGATATATCATTAACGAATCCTCATTTGTGCGATGACAATTTCTCTCAACTCTTGCGATGGATTAAGATCACGATATTAAAAATGACAGACATATATAAACCATACATAACTTTCCTTTTCTATCGTGTATATTTTTCGAGGTAAATAAATCTTTCCTTCGATTTTTAAACGAAGATGAATCCGAATTCCTTTTCAGAAATGGAAATATTTTAATTCGCGCCCGGCAATTACGCGATGATAATGTTTATTGCGGTGCATAAAATGTCCTAGTTTTAATCTTGGAAAATTCTATTTTGCGAGATCGCCTCTGCAGATTTGCACGAAGATCCATAAAAGACAATGTATTCAGTTAAGAGAATTGTAGGCTGTCAGGCAAATAGTCGCCGCGCATATACATAATTCATCGATCGACATCCCCCGGACGAATCACAACGCGCGAGAATCTCCCGCCAAGATTACAATGGAATGCAAAAATGATTGCGTGGGCTCACCTAGCCGTGACACGGTTGCGTAATAACGATGAGAGACGATAATCGACCCACGATCGCGGAAAGAAGCGAACGCCGGGAACTGACTCGTTAGCCGAGCGTGAAGAGTTCCTTGGGCACGCCGTTTAAATCTTTTAACCTCCTTAATTAATCGAGTGTGTTTGTAACGAGATCTTTGATCTCTCTCCATCTGAAGTCTGTAGATCATCTGGATTATTCACGCTGGAAGCGGTTTAAATTTGTGAACATTCCGGCAAAAATAAGGAAACATAAGCGTATAAAAATTATCTTTTAATGAAAAATATAACAGCATACAAACAAATATTAAACATTTAAACGAAAATTAAGCAAAATGATAAATACAAAATATAAACTATTAAAACAATAAACTTTTATTGTAATTTTTAAATACACTATTTTTTTAAAGTCAAAGATAGTTATAATAATAAATGTTCAGAGAGATACGATATGCTGGACATAGATTTTTCCAGCCATTAACCAACATGTAAATTTAAAATGTATTTTAGCTAATGGAAACTCTTTCATTAATCGACTATAAAATAAAAGCTATGATCAATTGGCTCGAGGAAAATTTCCTGTAAAATCATGTTGATTGGGATAAATGTAAAATAGTTTTTAAATGTAAAAGGGTTTTCATGTTGATTGGGATAAATGTAAAATAGTCAATATTATAATGGAAAAGACCAATTATATCTTACCAAGTATATCGTAGTAACAGAAAATTTATCAAATGTACATTTTTAGAACGAAAACTAATTTCCATACTATATTTTTTGCGACATTTATATATATATATATATATATATATATATATATATATTCTGCAAACAAGTATTTATAATTAAGATAAAATGAAAAAGTTACTCACTCACGCATGTCAAATTGCCTCGATTTAATCAAATGTTTTATCATCATGTTGAAAACATTTACTGACGTGCATTTAGTGTCTAAAAAAATTAATAAATTTCAATTTTTTCCTGTCATATAATAAATAATAATATTTGCTAGAATACTCTCTCTTGCTAAATATGTTATAAATTATTATTATGAAATATCTACATATATATGTATATTTCTTTTTTAATTAATATTTTTCTTCGTTTGAAAAAATACATTTAATGCTGAAATCAAGTTCAAATATTTACATATCCGATTATTATTAAGAAAGAACGATCATCTCAATACGAAGGGAGACATTCGCGCGGAAATCAGCTTTCATTGCTTGCTCAATCAGAGTAATCGCGGGTGTTTTGTCACTTACTTCGTTCAATCGAGGGGATACCTCTCATAGAGGCCGGAAGACACGATCGTTTCCTGCGGTAGCGCCTCGTAATGAAACGTCTCATACGAGAGAATAATCTTATCGAGAGTCGCGTGTGCACCGCGTACTACATACGTGTGTATGCGTACGTGATTAAGCGCTGTCGTAGAGTAAGATTATCTGACAACATATAGGTGATCGTCAATCGTTTAGATTAATAGTTCTGTATTATCTGGTCGATAGCATCACGGTCAGATCAAGATTTTTTAAACGTACGAAGAACTTTTGCCTTGGACTCCACCATCGTTCGTTTATCACTTCGACGAGTACTTGTCACGTAATATTTCCGATCACGTATCGCTCGTAATTCAGATCATCCTCCGTTTATATCGTATTATTAGTAGCTATTATATAATGCGTGTCTCGTATCGATATTTTAATGCCAGGCGTGTTGTAATTACGCACAGCCTTATTCTTAAATTGAATCACGTGTGCCTTGAACGACGAGATAAATCGAGTCGTAGATTCTGACGGCAGTCTCGGAATTTTTCATATTGGCTAAAAATAGAAAATACGTATATCTCGACATCATTTATTTTCAATTGCGATGCAGTACATTTTTTATTAAAGATTTTTCTTCTTTTTCTTCTTTTTTTTAATATTCAATTCTTATAGGAAACAAATTTCTGCTAAAATATAATGTCACGTTATTTGTTTTAAACATTATTTGTTTTAAACATTTCTTACGAGACTTTGAAATTCGTTGAAAATCATAAATCATATCGAATAATTCTTAGATGATCAAAAGCGGCAAATCATCTTTTATGCATCCTTCCTTTTTTAGATATGATTCCCTCTAAAATGATGTGTCGATTTTATCTTACTTCTTTCTTCTAAACAGAATATACCGGTATCTTCCAGCGCAAGTGACTTCTGAAAACATGTAGACCCTCTTTCACAATCCTCTCGCCTTTTCCTTTCTACTATACCGATGGGCTATTCACGTCTTTCACAGAGTTGCCTTCGGGGTGGATAACCCGAACGCAACTATGTAAAGCCTACACGCACTCAAGAGTCTTCCAAAGGGCTAGCTATTTCTGCTCACGTGAAAGAAGATATATCTTCATAATTTTTTCATATATAAAAAAATTAAACTTAATAATAATAAAAATATCTAAAAATATTTAACTTTAATAATATTTAAAGATAAAAAATGTAGTTTAAATAGCTAACAAAGTTTCTTAAGAAAATTAAGATTCTCAAAATCATAAAGGTATTATATCAGATAGTTATATTTTAATTGATAATTTTCGCTATAATAATTTGAAGTAATTACTATAAAATTATTAATAATTAATAATGACATTATTAATAATTAATAATGTCATTATTAATTATTTATTATAATTGTCATATATAATTGTTTATATATAATAAAAAAATGACATGCTTGTATATATTATATGTAATGTTAAAATGATTATTTAATATTGCATTATAGTGCGAGTGAGGTTTACATGCTATAGTCCGATACTTTCTATAGAAATTGTGATTCCTGACAGAGATGTCCCTTACGGCGGCTCCGAGAAATACTTCGCAACCTTTTTGCTCGTCTTAACATTCTCCGCGTGGGTCTTTTCGCCCTGGACCGCACATGCGGCCTCTGGAGCCCAGATCCTTTTGTGTTCTCGCCGTTTCTTCTTCGTCTCTTTCTTTCTTTCTTTGTCTTTGTCTCTCTCTCTCTTTCTCTCTCCCCCCTCCCCCTTTAACCTCCTGTTGTTTTTTCTTTTATCCTCGACACGCGAGATCTGCCAAAAGAGACTTTACTTCTTTTTAACAAACAGACCATGCGAACAAATAAATGTCACGAGCCGCTCAAGACACGTTACCACTGCAAAGCTAAATACCTCTTTGCTCTTTTTCCATTCTGCTAATTTACGTTCGCTCATTATTACCATGTGCGAAAATGGACCTTAGTGCCTTTGGCGTGCTTTTTGTTCATATTACATCTTTTCTAAAGCTACAAAGCAAATTTTTTTAGATTACTACGTTCTGACGGAATTAGTAAACTGTTTTAATTATTTCTTGCTCAATGAGAAAGGAAAGAAACCATCTGTAATATATATTAAATAATATAATTTATATATAAATAGATGCGTGTATGTTTTACTAAATTCCAATAAAAAATCTAATTGTTTATTCTTTAACTTTTAAATAAATTCAAATCGAATGAAATAAATAAACAATATATATGTATATATATGATTTTGTAATCAATATAAGAAGTTATTATCGTTCTCTTGTAAAAAGAGGGATAAAGTTGAAAGCAAGGCACAAAAAATGCAAGAAGGAGAAATGACGATTTAATTCCTCGCATCGAAAGAATGCTCCACTGTCTTTGATCTCGATTTGGAGCCGGATATGCTCGTTACGAGACGCTCCTTTCCTTCTTGTCTCATTTTAAAATTAACGAACGATCAGCAACAAGTGCATTCACAGATAACAAATACTAATGAGTAGCAAATACGTCGAACTCGTATTGCAAGATTTATTCACGAAACTGATAATAGCAAAGCATTATATGAATCGTTTAATACGAGTGATATGCTTTTTATCGCACAACACGAATGTGCATAGCTTCCATTTACAGGAGTATGTGTTTGTTGCAAGTATACATCTCGTGACGTTTATCCAACTTCCTTTACCGAGGGATTTAACTGATTAATACAGAATTTCTAGTTTTAGCTATGCTATATTATACTATGAATTATCAGGTCTCTTTGTTTTCAACAAGTTATACGATATTGCAATAAACAAAAGAATATGAGATATATAAATGGTAAAATCGGAAATAAAAAAATAAAGAAAAAAAGTGAGAGAACAAAAGCCAAATATTAAAATTATTTTCGTAAATTATTAAATTTCAAAAATTATTTTCGTAATTAAAGTGCAGCAAAAAGATATTTTTAAATAAATTACGAAAAATTGTAAGATTATGTTATTTTATATCATAGCATGTTTCTGTTATCTTATATTACTAATTAATTAATTAATTAATTTGTTTTTTTGTATGCATATATCAATATTTTCTTGATTTATTATTTTAAATCATTATTATAAAATTATCTTGATATATTATTTTATATCATTACACAGTTCTTTGTTGTTTTGTAATTATTAATCTTTAATTATTTAAGCTATGTTATTTGTTTATTTTATACAAATATTTTATTAAATATTATTTTATACTATAATTATATGAATATAATTCACATTATTATTTATTGTTTTATTTATTGTTTTTGTTAATCTTTATGAAAAATAAATGATGTTTTCAAATCAGTAAATAATCTCTAGAACAAAAAGTGAACTATCAGAGAAAATATGCGATGTTATTTCATCATTACATCATTGATTGCGTCGAGTCTTGATTACTGAAATAAACACCTCCTACATCATCATCAGCTATCCTGAACGAAACGATTAAATGTCTTCCTCCTTCTCGAATCTTCTCCATTAGTTCTTAATGCTTAACTCGACCGCGAAGCCGACACAATCCCTAAAGTTAAAGCAACTTGGTATAGAACGTGGTATACGTTGAATCCTAAAGTCGAAGACGTTTAGTATATCCAGAATAAACATATAACATCGAATAAATATCCAAGTGTATATCTCTGTATTTCAAGAAAAGTAAACGTAGCTTATCTTATGCTTCGCGTCCGAAGTAGATCCTTTCCTACGATATTGAACGTTACATTCCGTAATTTCAAAATTTTTTTATTAAAAATAAAAGAGATACAAATCACAATAGAAATTTTATTTATTAATAAAAAGGATATATCATTATCAAACATTATTTTGAATAACAAATTGTAGATAAGACCAAAACGTTTTAAAGACTCGAATTTTGGCAATCACACATTCATATTTAAAAAAACACATTTCTTCCACTACTTACAGAACGATCCACACATACTTTTTATTCCTCGAGAGTTATCGCTGTTATCCTCGATATAACCGTCCAGTATTGCGTTATCTAGATGATTGCAGCGCGACGTGGTGCAATTCCGTATCGAACGTCTCTCGACAGTCAATGCCGCGGGACATCACCGGGACAATTGTCGATTGCATCAGTTCTACGTCTATCTCTCTCGCTGCGATTTTGTGTCGTGGACACGTCTCGACGACTGCATTATTGCTCACAGCACTCGAGACGAATTTCTGTGACGCGCGCGACGAACTTGTTCAAGTCTGTCGACCACGAGGTATTCGAGTCGCAAGTAAGTCCTTCAGAGTCGCAATCGATGCACTTCTTCCATCAACCCGACACACAACCGAGACTCTCTCGTTCTCAATTAGGTCCGCAAAGTGTAACGCGATTCGCCACGCAAAGGATAACTTCTCCTTGCCCTTGTCCTTCGATGATGATGCGACGATTCACGGTCGTGCGTTTCTAGCGATTAGGATTTTCTCAGGGATTACTGCTACCTAAGGATTGCACGGTGAATTTACGCGTGTCCGATGAATTTCCAAAAAAGGAGTTTGTAGAACAGAAGCTCCTGCATCATTATTTTCTCACACAATGCGGCGCAAAACGTAGGAGTACAGGTTTTTGATGCTTTCGTCGCGCCGATGGGAAGTTGTGACAAACGATGGCGATAACTAGATTTCATTCACATTAGTTATCTTATATACGACGTATATAAATTCGATGAGTCAGAAAATTCCTGAAAATAAAAGTCGATTGAGATAAACAGATAAGATGATTTTTTCAATAATTATTGCATCTTGATAAGTTTGCTCTTATCTATGACTTTTTCAGGCTTTTTAAATGTATCCTCGAATGTCAAAATTTTAGCAATGATAATTACAATGATAATTACGTTGAATACATTTTTATTAATATACTTCAGTATCAATTTCTTGTATACGGGATGCTTATCATTGCAATTGGCTGACCGATCACAAACTTTAGTTTCGATTTTGCAGCGAATTCTGTTAGTATATCATCGAGGCAAATTACCGAAACACGTTGCCAAGTTTTCGAGACAGAAACAATTCGCGACGAGCTGCGAAACTATTATTCTGCGGTGGAAACTGTCATATGAAGTACCACAAAATTCACCGTAGAAGATACGCAACATCGAATCGGTTGGCTTGAAATTCGCGAGTATACTTGGAAACTGCGATAAATTCAGCGTTGATATAAGTGAGAGAAACGCTGGTCTTGCGAGAAAGCATCCAGAAAATTTCTCCAAAAAATTCGTCGCTTCGTCAAAATGTGCTCCAAAATATACGAGGAGTCTTTTCCAGCTGCGGATCAAACCGTTGCACCGATCACGATCGAGGCTGAAATAATCATATTTGTCTCTCGCATTATTATTCCAACTTGTTTGCAATTAACTACACGCATCAATTTTTACCTCGTAATAACGCTTCTGAAGCTTTTCTCAACTTTCGCAATGGTCCCCAATTACATCGCAGGCGTTATTACACGTTTCCGTACGTCGAGATGCGTTTTTTGCGAACTGTATCGCGAATAGAGAGCGCCGAGTGCCGTTATCGTGCACGTGAGCACACACCGCAATTTACAGGAATGGTACACTTCGCGGTACACTGATTGCGTTTTCTTCTCGTGACACCAATCGATGCGATAGCCTCGCGGCCGATTTCTCAAACGCGCGACGATCGATGCTCTCTATTTTTATTCGTCGTCGCGTAAAAAGTACTTTCCGGATTACCGTCGTGGCTGGTCTACGTTGCAAGCGCGAATTTCACCATAAGATTTCACCGGCAGATCGCCGCGCGTTAATCGCATCCTTTCATCCGCAATCCGCGCAAAACGAACTGGCAGCGACGTCGCGAGGAGGTAATTGCAGCCCCTTGTGCAGCTTCGAGGGGAATCTAGCACTATCCTCGTACCACTACTATTACACGAGATTATGCACTGTCACCACGATGGAGCGCGATACCGATCGTACATTATCTCTGCGCGATTTTCAGAAGCACTTTATGAATCGCGGTTATATCAGCATGGATCTCTACGGAATTTTATAAATGAACTTTTATGAATTAACTTTTATTATTTTTTTTTTATGTAATTTGGTTGAATTTTTTCTAGCTGCATAATTAATTTTCGAGAGAGACATGCGCAAAGTTACGCATTTAGCTAAACTTGGAGAAGGGTTCGGCTTAATTTGCGAGAAATTTCAGCTTACACTAATAACTTAGGGATTACGTAGTTCGAGGAGAGTGGCCTTAAGAAACTAGCAGGAGGACACAAGCTCGAACTTGCTTGCTTTAATATTCGTGGATCTGTCGTGAATTATGATTTGCAAAGATAATGCGCGGGATTAAATCTGACAATTCAATCCGCGTTCTGGCGAAGCGTAAGAACAGATCGTATTCGTATCTCCTCTAATGCACATCCATTGTATAAATCCGTGAGATCATTCATGTGAGATTCTAAATATTTACTAAATTTTGAAGGCTAACTTTCAACGCTTTTCGGACAAGCACTGAGACCTAAGGAATAATAATTGTACAGAGTCTGCAAAAGTCGCGATGTTGAAAAAATATGGTGTATGCAAGAGTATAAATTCGCGAGCGCGAAAAGCCACGACAGAACGAGGAGAAACGAACAAGCGGATGTAAACGTCGAGCGATGAACAGAGACGAATGGGGCGCGTTGCGCCCAGAGATAAATTGAATTAACATATTAACGGATCACAAAAAAGCCGGGCGCCATTCAAGATTCTGCCTTTCTCTCTGTTGCAGGATAAATAAAAAAGTTATGAGATTAAAGGTGTCGTATAAAATGTTCCCTCCGACTCTTTGATAACCGATTAACTGACCCTTCCCTAGAGAATCGCATCTATTTTTTGGAGATCGATGGCCCCGAATGTATAACCGCGAATTAAAAGAATCATGCGAGCGAAAAAATTGGTTTTTGGAACAATTTCACATTGAAACGAAGGGAAAAAGTTATTTGTGTGAATCATTTGTCAGACTTGTGAGTGAGTCAATCCATGTAATTAATGAATTTCGTTTCGTTTGACTAGGGACTACTTACTTCACAAAGCTACTCAAAGGAGAATCCGAATGATATATTTAACAAAGTGTCGTGTAGATACGCGAAGTTACGCGGTCAATTGGAATCTAAATCGAGCGTAATAAGCCGTCGTTCCAGGCAATGCTAGCCATGATCTCGTGAGAAGAAGGAAGCTCTTAATCGACGTTGATTAATTTAATTTCGAATTAAAGACCAAAGAGTTTTATTTATACACTCTCTGTCGTTCCAAAAATACATCCGAATAATTGACAGCGCAAAAAAGAAAATATACACGTATAAGCGTCGAGTCGTTTGACAGATTCTTGGCATGGCATAAATGAAATGAAAAAAATCTCGCGAATTATTCGTAAACTTTACCAGGGGAATTCAATACATTTGGAAGAGGTGAACGAATTGCACACCGCGTTAGTGGATTTTATTTAATCCACAAGCCCCTCGGACAGATTGCAGCAGATCCACGTGACATATCCGACAAGTAATTGCACAAATGGAGATACGCATCACCGTCGAATCTACTCTTCACTATCGATCTTGGTTAACTCTATTGAAAACCACTATGTTCGACTTCTTCGAGTCGGAGCATTGAACGCGCGCGCAAATCACGCAGCATCGATCCTCTCGATCGCGCTGGTGCGGCAAGACTGGCCGGCATGGATCGGGATCGTGATCGAGGAACAACGACCAGGGACGGCGCAACACAAGGTTCACCATGAAAACCATTAACGTTCCATAAATAATATAAATGAGATATTTGAACTGTGAATTTGACAGTTTTGCACTGATGTTAGAATTTAGTGAGTTTATTGAAGAAGATTAAAAAATGCATACACACACGCACGCACGCACGCACATATATATGTTTGATGATATATTTAAAATATTATTTATATATATTTAAAAATATATAACATTAGAATTTATGAAAAATTTTTATTTTATTAATTCTATTATTAATTATATTATTAATTGTTATTATTATTTTTATTAATTTTTCATCATTTTATTGTTAGTTTTTATTATTTTATTATTTTATATTATATATTTTTACACAAACTTTTATATAAATTACAGAAAGATATCACAGGGATTAGTAAAATATTAAATAATGAATCGTGAAAAATATTTTAATAGCTTTGTTAATTAAAATTCATAGTACATCTAAAAACTAAGAATTTATAAAGTGGAATATATTAATCTCTCTAAATTTAATCGCTAAAGGTTAATTAGAAATATCATTAGGAAACACATGGTTTTTTCCGATCTAGATAGCTTAGAATTTAATCTTAGATCAGCCTTTTGAATGATAGCAAAAGAATCCAACGTGTTATCGCAACGTTGATGTATTAAACGGAATCTCTATCCCTTTTCTAAATTGCTGCGTGAATTCGTGACTAGTATATATATCGTGAGACTCGCAATGACGGAAGAGAAAGCCGAAAGTATACGCGAACATTTTGCTCTATCTTGTGCTTATAAAATGTAACGATGGTTAAGATGTTAAAATGGATCTAATGTCAAAATCTAATGTTAGGAAGAATGTTAAGATGGATCTAATAATATACAATGCGTTATAATTTCTCAATTTTATTAAATATAATTATATTAAAGTATCCATTATATAATAAAAGAGAAGCGATTGGAAAAATTTTTAGAGTTTAAAAATGAGGAAAGACTTTTTATAATATAATGTAGATATATATCGATGATATTTTTATAGTATTACAATATAATAAAAAAATAGACCTAACTTTATATGTATGTGCGAATTGATTTTATTTGCAACAAGAAAATGCATTGTATTGTCTTCTATTGATATTTCCATAATCTAATTAATTTTTTTTAATTTTCATATCATAGCACATTTTATATGCTTCAATTTAATCTAGTGTCTGTTAATTATCGAAATGTAGCACACGAATTAACTATATGAGATCGAATGAAGAAATTTAACTAACACAGGTGTGTATCGCGAGAATCAGAGGGCAGACTGTCAAATTTCGGATGAAAAGTAGAATTTTTGAAGAAACTCGAGTACGAAACGCGCGCAAAGTCCTTAGATAGTCACGAGGGAGGGAATGCTACTTTTTCTACGAGCACCCCAGCCACGCAGGTATGTGCCCACATTGAGTACATACCTGTTTACGATACGGTATGCGTGTAGCTGTACCACTAGTACCACTACGGCAAGAACGCGGTGAGATGCACACGCACGTACGTAAATACGAGCATCTCCCTCATTAAGGTACCTCGACTGGTTTGGCCCACGGCGTGCACGATGTTTTTCGCATAGGTACGCACACGCGAATGTACGGTACACATAAGTGGCAGGTATACACACAAGGTTACAACTCGCGAGGCCTTCCTCACGTGGATACTTGTGTGGTTTTAACCCCGGTTTTATTTTCACGCAGTTCATTAGCAAGATCGCGACACTTCGCATCCGTTTAATTAAAGAGAGGAAATTATGAAAAAAAGCACGGTGCGAAAAGTGCATTCTTTAGGGAGGACGCATCGCGCGTATTAATCCCCCTTTTACGGCACGGATATTTTTAAACTTTTATTAAATTTGAAGAATATGAAATGAACTGACTTTCAGTGTGATATAAATTACACGGTGATTCTGTTACTTTTTAACTTACTCTCGTGCACTTAAAATGTCACTTTAATAAAAGATCTATTAATCAAATAATATTCG